CTATTTGTCATATCAAACTTGCGAAGTCTGAACTTAAAAGGAGAGGATGCAGGACTGTACTGTGTGTAGGCTACTTAATATTGAGGAAAAGGCCCAATCAGACAGGCGAATGTCAGCAACCCCGCCTCCCGTTTTCAGATGTCTTCGTTTTCCCCCATCCACACTGAGATGGAGCAGCAGCATTTTAGAATTAAAACAGCCTCTTCGACGTTTTCAAAACGCTCTGTTTTCGGCGCTTGAAAACTCTGGCGTAGTGTGGACGAATGGCGTAACCGTAGCAAAACTTATGCGTTTTCAAACTAAACGCATTAGTGTAAACGGGGCCTGAGACAGTTGAACAACTGGTTTCCTATCTGATCTTCTTCTCCGATTAGAAAGTTTATTGTTTTAGTGCCTGACAATTCTCATGGTCTTGCCTTGTGGGGTTCCATAACAGTTCTCAGGGTTTGATATTATTGAGAGACTTAGCCATCCTTACAATTTGTTATCAAACACTTTCATTCAGCTTATTCCCAGATTGTCACAATGAACCACCAATTACTCTGGCATATGCTTTATATGGCAGATGCCCTTCCGGCCGCAACCCAGCACTGAGGATACATTAACTCATAAACCCCCAGTGTTGGTAAAATACCCAAACACTCTCATTCACACACACTCAGAGTGTGTGACATCAAATGTTCATCAGTGCACAAGAGCAAAAAAGGCTCTCCCATCTGATTCAGCAGAGGGTCTACTGTGGCACACTTTCATAAAACCTTTAATAATAGGTATGACTAGAGGAATGTGCTAATGTGTAAATCATACTCCCAAGACCAATAAGTGTCTATGAAGCTGCTAAATCCACAACTAAATTGGACTTTAGATAAGTAGTCACGTGGTCTGGTGATTCTTATTTTATTTTATCTAGCTTGGTTTGGGACTTGTGGAGCTGTGCATCGATGGATTTGCTCTTTAGTGTTTGGACTTTCAGCAGTAAAAATTAAACCACACTGAACTAAACTGAACTTCAACTCAACAAATTGAATTGAATTGGGCTGTTGAATTGTGTTTACCTGGTGCATCAGTTTACCTGGTGAAGTGATGCTGAGCATTTATTTAATGGATGCAAATTTCACACATCCACCCATTATTGACATTGTATATTGCCTGGTAGATGTGGCCCCTTTCAAACAGAAATTGCATCCTGCCACTGATTGGTCAGGAATAGTTTAAAGACCATGTTTAAAGTTTCCTTGGACCTATTATTCCTTAGATCTCAACACAATTGGGCAACAGAGAGGTATTTCAATGCACAGTGGCTCCATCTTGTCATGAAGAATCTAGTGTTATGTATTGGTGCCAGATACTGCAGGATGCCTTTAGGGATCTTGTAGAGCAGACAATTCATTTCATGGATCTCTCTCCTGATGAATCTGCTGTGTTAAATAAGGTTGAAAGATAAAATGTGGTGGGTCCTCAGAACCAGGATAGAAAACCATATTGAGGAGTCCATGGTTTTGTAGGATACTGCTGTTTGGACATGTCTAGGCAGGTGGATTTATTATTATTTTTTATTTATGTATATTCTACATTGGGACGATGTGGTGGTGCAGTGAGTATTGCTGTCGCTTCACAGCAAGAAAGTCGCTGATCTGAGCCATGGCTGGGTCAGTTGGCATTTCTGTGTGGAGTTTGCATGTTCTCTCCAGTTTTCCCAGAGATGGGTTGCAGCTGGAAAGGCATCCGCTGCTTAAAACATATGCTGGATAAGTTGGTGGTTCTTTCCACTGTGGAGACCCCAGATTAATAAAAGGACTAAGCTGAAAAGACAATGAATGAATGAAGGAATGAATAAATGAATATTCTACATCAAGACAAGGGAATGGAGGGCTCTCAGGATCCACTATCCTTTAGAGATTAGCTACAGCCCTGATCAAACATCCTTACAGCCCAGCTCGCACTGTGATTTTTTTTTTTTACACAACATAAACAATCTGTAGCGTTAATTTTACTCTTAACATGTCTTAATGATAAATCCAGAAAATCCTGTTTTGACATTTCTCCATGGTGGTTTGAAGTCATGCTGATTGCATCATCAGATTTGGCACTCATACTTTGTTTCTTTTTTTGATGGTCATTAAAACTGAAGTAAAACCACAGGAAAGGGTCTGAAATCTTCTGAAACATCCAGAACTTCATCAGAGAGAATGATCTGATTGCAACAGTCATTTAGAAGCTGTCGGTGAACATGTCAAACCAACAATCAAAGATTATAGCCTAATATATGAGGAATCTTTTAGAATTACCCAAATTTGTCTAGGATAACTAAATCATGGACAAAATTGCACTGTGCTGAAGGCACCTAATTAGGGTTTAATTTTGAGATCTGGGGTTGATATACAATATACAGCTAAAACTAATAATAGATATACTTTTTTTTTAACTGGTTCATGAAATAGAATTTCAATGTTTAAATACATTACAAAATAGAATATCTCAATAGTAGCTACAGAAAAACAATGTCTATTGTGCCATGTTTTGTCATTGTTAAAAGAACCTTTAAGTCATTTTGTCTACGCTTGAGTATAGATCACATAGTTGTGAGAACACTCAAGCCAACACATATCACAGACTGTTCTCTGCACACAATATGCCTGAAAGGGTTAGATGAAAATTGCAAGCTCTTTTTCTATGAAGCCATTCATGGAGAGTATGGCTTTTCAAATGGGTTTCAGTGGGAGTTAAGCTTAATTTCTCATTCTGCTTTCAATGTATTGCCATGGGCTCTCCATATTCTTTTCTTGTACAGGATTTTCATCATTTAATATGTTCAGATTAGATGAAACGCTATCTATGCAGGCTTTGACATTAATTTGACGTTCATTTAAAATAGAAGAATCTATACTTTTAGATCTACGTTTCTAATAGTTACGTTAATTGATGAAATGGGGAGCTAGATAGTTTCAATTACATACAGTGGGCCTTAACAGACTGCAGCCCTAAATAAAACACTCTCTGTGTGTATATACAGTATGTGAATTAACCATATGATAATATATAAATCAGGTATTCATTTTTAAGATGATTCCCACACAATATTATGATTAATTATAGATGTGTTGAGGAATAACCACGAGTCAGAATTTCTCTAACAGTTTGACAGTTGAGAAGTGAAATGCCACATTCAATTAGTGCATTGAACCTCAGCCTGACCCTCCGGTCAGTGCCGCTTATTTGGCAGAACGAGCCAGGGACATACTGTGCTTAAAGGCTAAAAATGGAATCCTTGAGAGGCCATTCTTGTATGAACTGCCAATGCACTTCAAACTGCTATTGATTCTTATTACCACTAATAGTTTGGCTGTCACAGTTAGCCCTGAATCTTGTCAGCTGAATGGAGGAAGAGGCTAATAAGGGGTTGATAACCCTCACCTACATTCTTTCTCGGGGTACATGTCCTTGCAGACCGCTTGCTTTCTTTAGCGGGATTGACTTTGGAAAGACAGCCCTGACTAAGATACTTTTTATAATAATAAAGGCTATGGCAGATCTTTTTTGGCCACCATGAGCTTTCTGATTACCGTGAGCTGTGTTGTTCATAAAGATTCTAACGATGCAGTTTCTGACATGACTTATTCATAACCAAGACAATTTGAATACGAAACACCCTCAGTGACAAAAGCCCTCTCATCATCAATACACGTTTTATCACTGCACTGCAATATCTTGAAAAAAACAGTGTTTTAAAAAATCTGCTTCAAAGAGAAGCCCTACGGACTAGAACTTCAGAAAATGATTAGCAAGTATGACCATTTTCTGATTTTGGTGATTTGATGAAGTCTGCCAAAATATGTGATATGGGTTTTCAAGAGTTCACACTTAGCTGATGATTAATAATAAAGTATGTTTGGCATGCTGTCCCGGAAGAGCGCCCTGAGCTCAGAAGATGCTTGAGCCTGGGGCTCCTTCCCATTTCATTAGGAGAAAGGGAAGTCTGAGCTCAGGTAGGTCTCGCAAGCTCCCCTGAATTTGTTCGCTTGGCCTATTCCTTGATTATTAGGGTTTCCATGGTGGACTGAACCACCAACCAGTGGAAGAAAGATTACTGAAAAATCATACTCAAATAAAAGTACCATTACTTGCCCAAAAATGTAGTGCAAGTAAAAGTTTCTGTTGTAAATATTACTCAAAGTATAAGTAAAATGTAGCACTCAATTAGTACTCAAAGTGTATTGAGTATTATACTGTGAAAATCTAATGTGTTTACATGCAAAATATATGCATGTATGTACGTGAAAATGTAACATTCTGCAGTGCATTTAGTGATTAGGGCAATTCAGTCATCATACATCTATCATCCAGTTTCATCACAGTCATACAGTCTCAGAGTTATTTTGGACATCTTCTTTAACACCTTATGCATCCAAATGGTTAGTTGCATTTATATAGCACCCATGTCTTGAGGTATTTCAATATAATGCAGGTTAGTTTCTGTGTACAATTTGGACAGGTATCACAGAACCTATTGTTTTACTTTAGCCAATCCCATAGACAAGAAAAAATTAAGTAGTGACTGTAGGTTGAAGTAAAGTAGTGGAGTAAAAGTATTGATACAGCACTAAAAATGTATTCAAGGAAAAGTAAAAGTACACATTTTTACAACTACTTGGTAAATTACAATTCCTGAGAAAAACTACTAAATTACGAAAATTTGAGTATTTGTAATTTGTTACTTTACACCACTGCTGCCACCTTAACCAGCATATGGCTATGCGTTGAATGGCCAGTACTAAGACACTTAAATACTGTGCCAATTTGGTTTATTCAATTCACTTAACTGCATGTCACTGAAAAACAAAAAAATTAAAAAGATGATTCTTTGGATTTACATTTTTTAAGTGCTTTTAAACAATTTATTTGGACTGAATTTAAACAAACAAATTAGGTTGAATGTTACTAAATTAAATTTGTTTGTTTTTAATTAAACACATATAATTTGTTTGCAACATTTTTTTTAGTATGTGGAAGGAAACTGGAGTACCCGGAAAAAAACTCACGCGAGCAGAAGGAGAACATGTAAACTCCTTATAGAAACGCCAACTGGCCCAGCCAGGACTCGAACCAGCGACATTCTTGTTGTGAGGCCACATTGCTAACCACTGAGCCACCGTTCCACCTTGTTCTGGATTAATCTCAGAAAGAGGGGGATGAGTAGGGATGGATGGGGGATTCTTTGAGGTGAAAATGACTAAGGTAAGAATATGTGGTTATTTATGTGCATTTGGATTCATCTGATTGGTAAAGCTAATGTGGGACCAGCTGTGGTCAATCATAAGCATGTGCTGCTCTCAAAATTACCTTATAAATAAACTTCAATTAGCTGTTATAACTAATATTTTTATTGTAAATGTATCAATTTTAATGCAAATATTGATTAATGAGGATTTGTCCATGTGTGCAAAATGTGAATGCATATGTCATGACCAAATTAGTATGCATGAATGAGACCACTGTCTCTTGGTATAATAACCATACCAACCATACCCAAGTGTGTGCATAATAACTGACTCTGGGCCATTGAATTGTTGGATAACTGTTAAATAATGTGCTTCACACTACCACCTCTGTAAATCACATTACTATACACATGACTAATAAGTCTCCTCTGCAATTATTCCATACATAAGTCATGTAATCAAACTTGTTGTAGACAATATAAACTTGTTGGGCTGAAGTCTGCTGGCGATGAGTCTGTGTGCCTGTGGGAAATCAAATGCAGTTTGTCTTGTAGCAGCTGGAAGCAGTAATTACAAATGAACTTCGGAAACTGTCCTGTTGAAATGAGAGGCTCCATTGTCAGCAAGGTCATGTCCTTCATATTTTCAATCACTAGTATCAAATATCATAAATGAGTGCAACTGAATCAAATTATGATGAGGAAGTTCCTTCATTTTAACCAGTATAACAGAATGTATTTTTTTTCTCTCTCTCCATTGACACATTCAATTTTAATATACATCAGCATGAACTCTGCATTCATAATAAGCAGCTTTATTAAAAGTTATGTTTTCGTTCAATGCCACTCATACATCAACATCAGTATAATTGTACATAATGCTTTTTAATAAGGGATTGTTTATCTGTAGAATACATATTTGCGCATGCTAATTAGAAACTATAATATTATCTATACAGTGGCAAATTGCTAGGAAAAGATATACCATAGCTCAAATAACCCTCTGACCCCACACAAATTCTTCAGTGTGGCTTGAATTTATTCACATTATCTGTAATAGTGGTTGCTAAGAGATGGACAGAGAAAAAAGCTACTAAAGACTGCCTTCACAAGCTGTTCACTTGTGTGTCACAATAGTGAAAATATATCTCTAGCCAGATATATAATACACAACACAGACAGTAATGTCTCAGAATCTTAAATGGCTGAAATTTTAAATTGTTCCTGTATTGTTCAGCATGTCTGAACATTTTATTTTTGTGCGTGCATTTGTATATGCAAGATAAAGATATAACAGAGATAAAGCAATACTAGTTCATTTTTGACCTTATGGGGACAGTTTTTGGTCCACTTTAGGAAAAGGACTGAGAGAGAATGAAATCTTTTGTTGAAAATCTTTAAACTACAATTACAAAATGATGATAGTTGAGGGTTAGGTAGAGTTAGGGTAATGGGGATAGAAAACAGAAGTTTGTACAGTTTAAAACTCATTGTCTATGGAAATTCTAATAACGATAGCTGTGTGTGTCTGCATGTGTGCATCCATGCTTGTTGTACTTTAGAATTGTGTACAGATATGTATATCAATGCATGTATATAAGTATTTATAATCTACCATGATTTATTCAAACTAAAGTCACTTTGCTGCTTGGTAACAGTACATGTCATTTGTTATGGCATAACAATTTTCTCTCTTTTTTTAAAGGCAGTATATGGTAACAGAATAAATTGACAATGCCTGTTGCAACTGTTTATCTCTCTGTCAGTCTTTAGCTCTTTCGAATAGGTGCCTGACATCTAAAAGTTTATTTTGTTGTTGTTTTATATAGCCCACTATTAAAGTTCGCACACTCTTCAAGCCAAGATTACACTGAGCCTCTCTAAACTGTGCAGTGGACTGAAGTGGTTTTACAATCCAAACAATAGAAGTGAAGCACACCAGACAAGTGTCCAAGGTGAAGACTTTTCAGTCTGCTCTGAATGTTACATTTTAGAGCTTTTGAAGTAGACTTTAGACACTTAAAATCAGCTTTACAATGCAGGATTCGAATATATAAAATCATATTGGGCACTTTTGAACCACTTCACATTTGCATATGTGTTTGCCCGCATGATTCCATTGCGGAAATAGAAATTTCAGTAGTTAGTTGTTAACACATGAACCATATCTTTTTAAATCATATATTTATAATAAGTTATCTTTAAAATGCTAAACAAATCATACAAATTAAAGAACTTGTTTCACATACAGTTCAAATTGAGTAGTATTTTATGTTTGTAGTTTGCATTTAGGAGATTGCACTTTCAATAGCCACTGGATATATAGCAGTTGCTGTTGCACTTATTTAGTTTTAAATGAACAGTCACTAAAGTATTTTTTTTTTCTCAGAAATATAATAAAAAAAATTTAAGGTCCCACTTTAAATTAAGTGTCCTTAACTACTGTGTACTTACATAAACAAAAAAAATAAATAAATACAATGTACTTACTGTGTTTATAATGTATATAAGAACACGTGGTGATTTTGAGTTGGGATAGAGGTTGGGTTATGGACAGGTTTGGTGGTATGGGTAGGTTTAAGGGTGGGTTTAGGTGTAAGGGATGGTCAACAGTGTATTTACAAATGTAATTACAAAAGTTAATTACAGATGTAATTACATACATGTATTTAATCAAGCATAAGTACACAGTAAATACATGTATTTATATAAGTATTTATATAATAAGTACATTGTAACAAACTATTATTTCCTGGGTAAGTACATATTAATTAAGGCCACTTAATCTAAAGTGGGACCAAATTTAATTTTGCAGATTGGTTTCATCATCACTGTTTAAAAGTAACAGGTATACAGGAATATGCATCCAACACTAGATTAGTTCACTCGAAAATGTTTTATTTTGTTATTAATTGAATTAAAGTTAATTTTATTTGACAGACTGTAGACAAGCTGTACAAAAATACAAGTATCCCATACATTTTGAAATAAAACTCTCGAGGATAAAAACACAATAAAGCCCTGGGCTTGTTTCCATTGCGATCCTCGCTGTTGAATAAAACAAAGTATGTCTTCAAAATACAGATGATGCATGAAACAAACAGTACATCCACATTTTAAAACAGGAACAAAATAATTCACAAATACATTCCCTCATTTATTCATTTTTCTATTTGGCTTGGTGCCTTTATTAATTAGGGATCGCCACAGCAGATTGAACCGTCAACTTATGCAGCATATGTTTTATGTAGAGGATGGCCTTCCAACTGCAATCCTATTCACAATCAAGTAAAATATCAAATAAAACATCCTCTTTCACCATGCAAACTAATTATCCTCATCAAACAACCATTTTTTGATAGTTTTTTTGAACCTCCTTAAGCCTTTTTTTTATTACTCATAACATTTCAATTCCATGAGACCTTCATTCTTCTTCGGAAAACAAACTGAAATATTTTTTATGAATTCCAAGAGCTCTCTGAGCCTCCATAGACAGCAATAGTACAGATAAATGCAATGTCCGGAAAAGCAACCAAAACATTCCATGTGAACTCAGTGTTCAACTGTAATCATAAGAAGCTCTAAGAACACTTTTGTTTTGTGGAGAGAAACAAACAAAACAAAAACAGAACAAACAAACATTAAAAACTACTTTGTCTCAACTATGTCTTCTTTGTTAGATTAGGGTGCACATTTATTATAAGCAATATGATGCTTGCATGCCGCATTGCTGATTCTAAAGGTAATATGTCATACTGCACATATACAGTAAATGTGCCTGAGGCAGAAGAAAAAATATGTATAAATATAAGTTTTTATTATTATATGTATATATTTGCCACTCAAAAGTGTTCTTGGAACTTCATTTGATTACAGTTGAACCACTAAAGTCACGTTGAATATTTTGACCATTTTTGAGAGGGTGCTTGCTGCAGAGTCAAATGGGTGGAGCTAGAGCTCCTCCTCCCTGTATGACATTGAGTTGAGATGTACTTTATTGTCCTTTTTCAGAAAATGTGTCTTGGACTCAAACAGCACAGTTGAAAACAAACCATGATTTGAATCATTTTTATTATTTGTGACAGCAACCCATGCCTGTGGATGATGAGAGAGCTAAATTTTATAATAATCTGTAAAAGTGCAAATTATGTATTTTCCACCAAGAAGGTCTATACAGATTAAGAGGGCAGACACTCATAAGATCAGGGCCTGTTTAATATTTGTGAAGACTGGGAGTTTTATGATGTGGTCATGTTGATTGGTCAGTTTGTATGTCTCAGTATTTGGGCTTTGGTCACATGGTTACAAAAGAAACAAAACGTGGTAAACTTTGCTCTGCCTTTTCCTGCGCTGGATTATATCTTCTCTGGCTCTATCAGGCTTTCTATGGGGCCTATCTCTGCTCACCCTCTCTCTCTCCCTTCCCTTGTCTCTCTTTGTTTCTCTCAAGTAACTTTATTTTACATTTAAGCTGGGTACAATTAATACCATATGTTTCATCCAACTTTGATTAAGTGAGCAAAGTGGGCCATACATGCTTAGGCTTGAGACTGAGCCACGATGTCAAACAGTGTGGAACATCAGTGCCAGTCAGAGCATCCATGAGGCTCGTCTGGCTGACATTCAGCAATCATCTGCCAGTTCATACTTTGTGACTAATTAGCATGATTTATAAAACAACCACTACTCAATCTGGCTATTTTTGAGCATGAATAAGTAAGCTGAGGATAAATAAAGAAGTTTAGTAGTATCTGCTTTTACTTTCACAATTACATTTCAACAAATGGTGGAACAAAAAGGTCACCAGGACCCTGTGAGAATATTTGCGGGTGAGCTTTTCCTGGGTAACTCAAGTGATGAAGCCAAAGTTCAAATCGTTTGAGGCGATGATAAATTATTTTTTTAAAACTCCAATATCCTGCAGGAGTCCTACTGTGGTCCCCTCATCTATTTCCGCCATGCTGATAAGGACATTTCCTGAACGTGACACCGATTGCACCAATCCTGTCTTCCATTCCCATAATTTTCTTTCCATTTCCAATATACTTTCTCACACAAAAATCTATTCTAGTCTTACATACACATTTAGTTTTGGGTCATCCATGCATTTTCTTCTTACATGCAATTATTATTAATAACACAACATTTGCGTTTGAAATCCAAAAAAAATTCCTGTACATACATTTATCAGTTTATTTATTTTATTGTATTTACATTTTTTTTATTATCTGTGTTGAAATATATTAATATGAGAGAAAAAACAAAAATGCATACATTAAACTAGTTTAATGTAAGAGCAAAAATATATGTGTATGTTAGCAGTGTGTATGTGTTTAAGAGTGGAATGCAAGTTTATGAGAGTGAAAATCTGTGTATGTGAAAGAAATATGTGAGCAATAATGGGCGATCAAGAAAGGAAAATGTGAGTGTGTAAGAGTGCTAGAATGAGTTATGGGCTGTACATCATCTCATATGTGCTCCTGTGAAATGTACATTAATTTTATATTATTGCAGGTAAAAGTTTTATGATTAATAGTACTGGAGCTGCACACACAGTGAAAGATTGAATGATTATATATGATAAAAATAAAGTGTATATAAAAATTAGGGCAATTATAGAATTTGGAAAAGCTTTAAGTATGATATTAAAAAGGGGTGTCAAATATATATTAAGACTAGTGTTGCAAAATATATAATGGCCTCTTAATTATGTTTTATTTTTGAAAGTAAAACTTTGCTAAGATAAATAACAGATTAATGATGCAAATAATGCAAACCTGTTTATCAGAAGAAAAAGCATTTTGTTAACAAAATAAACTATTGTGAGGTTTAAGTTCAATTAAAATTAACCTAAAATTAAAGAAAAAAGGGCAGCAGAAAATTAAATGTTTAGTATATTCAACCAACATACAGTATATAAAAAGACACATTTATGGCTCGTTTCCGATGAGTGGTACAGAACGGTAGGGGTTGGTACAGGTCACCTTTAACATCTGTGATTATATAAAATAAACTAATAAATGCAACATATATGAACATATACAGACCCTTACAGTCTTTGATATGATACTAATTGCAGAAAAACTCCACACAGCATACATTTAGTCCTTATTTTGCTTCAAAAAGTACATTCAGCATAGCCCACAGTCAGTGCAAACCTCTCATCGTATCTTTAATCTTCACCAGCACATGTTAGAAAGTGCACATTTACTTGAAAGATAGTAAATCCATCATTCCCAGTTTATAATAGTCCAAAAGGTGATGATAATATATATACATGGCAGTTTGTTCATGTTTGCTGAAAAACATCATTTGCTCTGTTTTTTTTTTTTTTTGGCTTCTCTGTTTTTTGTGCGACAGTCTCGAGTTTGTTCGTTTCTGATAGGAATGGATGTCAGGAGCACTTCAATAATCAAGCGCACGTTATTATGGTCAACTCAAGAAGTTTGTTATTTCAAATATAGAAACACGAGCAGAAAAAAAGATTGTGCAAGCTAGAAAGCGAAACCGCTCGCACTTTCGACGCTCTCATAAAAAAACTAGGGGCACAGGGTAGAATCTGCTTTTCTTGGCTTTGTGGCTGTTCATCAAGATGACGACAAGGTTTGTTTGAGCTCGGGTTGACCATGGCTTGTTATTATATGTACTGTATATATTATTACAGTGTAATGTTTCAGCTGTTAATTTAAAAATGCAGCTTCCTTTATTTTCATTCTGGCTTGTTGCATGAGTGAGTGACGTATCTCTTTAAACCAATAGCGTTAAGTTGCGCGTCTAGCTCCACCCTTTGGTACCCCTTTGCCGTGCTAGGTACCCTTTGCAAATATCAACACTGTTCCTGTTTAATAATAAACTTAAAAAAACATTCAGAGAAGAGTGAGTGAGTGTACATCTGAAAATGAACAAAAATTTGACCAGAAAAATATGTAAACTTTGTTACGTGACGATTATTCCCCCTTTAGAAATCCTGCTGGACATGTTGTGAGTAGTTTTGATGTGAACTGATATTACAAACCCTTCACATCCATTCATCCATCCTTCCATCTATCTCAGTTTCTGATAGGGTGTACTTTACTGGACTGTGTACATGATGTGAGCAGACTGCAAAACAGCAGTGCTGACACAGAGCCTGAGCAGAGGAGATATTCATCCTGAGAGGAAGATCTTTCCAACAGCACTCTGCCACTGATGACCATCTCCTTCTGGGCCTCAGACACAACGTAAAAAACTTATTTAAATAAAATTGTATTCCTTTAGTCTAATGCTTTACTTTTACTACTGTAAGTATTTCAATAAGGAAAACTCATAAAGTATTTAAAGCTTTCATTATGGGTGACATAAAACTGAAAATAGACATTTCAGTAATGCAATCAAATAAATAACATTTCAAAATAAACTGTTAATTGCAATTTAGATTAATTGCATATTAATAATTGTGTATTATAGAAATTAGAAAGGAACTAATTTTGGCTTAGTCCCTTTATTAATCCGGAGTCACCACAGCAAAATAAACCGTCAACTTATCCAGCATGTTTTAACGCAGCAGATGCCACAACCCATCTCTGGGAAACATTCACAGACACTTATTCACACTCATACACTATCGACAATTTTAGCCAACCCAATTTACCTGTACCGCATGTCTTTGGACTGTGGGGGAAACCGGAGCACCCAGAGGAAACCCACGTGAACGCAAGGAGAACATGCAAAATCCACACAGAAATGTCAACTGACCCATCCGAGGCTCGAACCAGCGACCTTCTTGCTGTGAGGGGACAGCACTACCGACTGCGCTACTGCGTCACCTATTATTATAATATATCATTATTATTATTATAAGTTGTTTGTGGCTAGTGCTTGTGGCAAAATATGACACATCTTGTGCTTGTGCTTGTGTACATATATCACAATATATTTTTTATTTCATACTCTATTTATTATAATTTCATTGTAAATCAAAAATATATATTTGAAATATAATAATTCTATTGTTAAAATGTTAATATGTAATAGTGTAAGTTATCTGTATAATACGCAGTAATGCTCAGTTTTTAAATGATATTAAAAGCCAACTGATTTAATTACAAAGATACCAGTGATAAAGCAAGCATTTCAGAAATATATACAGGAGCAGAGACCTTAATCACTCCCAGCGCAGCATGTCATGTTCAGATTCCTGAAAATGTACCCACTCATGCATTTTGGATTGAGAATCAGTTCAGTGTTAACCCAACCATGACAACCCCCTTAAAACCCAAAGCTTAAGGATATATCTGGGGCAGTCGGTCTATCCTCATGAATAAATAGGAGACTTTTATTGGAATCTGTGGGAATGTGGCTGAGAATAATGTAATGGATTCCTAAAGCTTAAGATTCATTTCCTTTGCCTCGTTCCTATCGAACTCTCTAGTAATTTACTGCTTTTCAACCTGATAGATGGATTCCTGATACATAGTGAGCATGTTTTGTTTGTATCAAGCATCTAGACAGGAAATTAAATGGCTCATACAATGCTCAGATTGTTTGGTTACAAGTGCCGAAGGACTTCCAAACAAACATCACAGCAGGGAGGAAACAGAAGCCAAAGCCTGGCCTGCTCGACAGGCTGAAATCCCTATTCTTCAGTGATCTGCCTGACAGTAAGCCAGATCTTCAGCACTCGTTCTGATGCTTCTACTGGGAAGAAAAACCCTTGGATCATGGTGATAAGACAGGAGCACAGACAATCCAAGTAGACATTTCTTATTTATTTGTCAGCTGGCAGTTTAATTTTAGCCAATATAACAATGGCATAAAAACAACAAATGTGTTTGTCACAAAAAAATAAAATAAAAATAAATGCAGTTTATTGTTTTTTGAGTGTGTTAACATGTACGATCCTAAACTGATCATGAAATAAGCAAATGTGTGTTTATAAAAAGCTGAAACAAACCAATTGACAACAAACTAAATTTCTTTTCCCACAACCCAGATTTTGCCCTGCATGTAAATGCTTCAACTTTTATTCTGGGGAAAAAAAAAAGAATGAAAAAAAAGCAAACACATGGCATATTTAACTGCATGCAGACAGAGGGAGTATCTCCAGGTATATTTTTCTGGAGTATTTCAAGGTTATACAGCATATTAGTTTTAAACTTGCTACATGTACACTTCGTCATTTAGATTAAAAACATTCTGATTGGGATTATTCCAAGCAGGCACAGGATGTCAACATGGCGTCAGATTGACGTTGTACACCATCGACAAGGCGAAGTTGCGTTTTCTTTTGAAATGAAAATCGGGTTGATGTCAGAACTCAATGTAAAATCAACCAAATATCAACGTCTAATGATGTTGCAGCTTGCTGTTGTGTGGACATTACCACTATGATGTCTATCAAACATTAAATTTTGGTTGCCATATTTGACGAATAAATGTCAGTATTTGACATCAATATGATGTTGGTTTAAGATGTTGGCTCAAAGTGGATTTTGGTTGCTTTCCAACACAACCTAAAATCAACCAAATGTTAATGTCACTTGATGTCATTATTGGACATCATTACATTATCTTTATAATAATGTTGTCCTTAGACACTGGCTAGACATTAAATTTTGCTTACCTGACATCATAACCTAAATTCACCCTATCATATTATCATCTTATGACCTTGTGTGCCTGCTGGGGTTGGTGAGTTAACATGAAACATTGTTTTCCATTCATTTTCCATTTCTTTTAGTCGAAATTATTCTAAATCAACATAAACAATGCTTCAATATCTGGCTTATCTTTCACTATGCACTTCAAAATCATCCTGATATACATCCAAACCATCTTTAAAAACAAAACAAACAAAAAATAAAACACATCTGGACATAAGTAACCTACAAAAGATGACTGCTGTTGATGAATTGTAAAGCTTAATATGTGCTTTTGAAAGGAAATTACACCACATGTATAAATATGTTAAAAATAACCATTTTAATATGTTTACATGGCAGAAATTTATAAAAAGGCTTATGCAACCCCTCTCAAACTATAGTGCAGTTTCATTTGTTTAAGTATGTTTTTTTATTCCAATTGAGGTGTTTATATGGAGCCATTCTATTCAAATTGGAAATTTAAACCAATTAAAATGTTCCATATAAACTTATCTTCAATTGTGTACTTTACAGCTCCATATGAAGTCTTCATTACACTAGTCTGCACACTAACGGACAATGATTAAGTTTATGTGAGATACCATGCATTGGGAATTGGTACTATAGAAAAAGGTTACAATTGACAGGTGTGTGGTCTGGTTGAACAGTCATTATGCGTTTGTCTGTCATTTTCCAAGGTTTTAGAATTGTTAAGATTTGAAAAGTCTAGTGTGCTATAGTGTGCTATCTTGTGCAAGTTTCCAACTGACTAATTGAATATGAAGTAGAATACATGGATGCTTAGATTTTGATCCCTTCATTTAGAAATAACCCTTTTTTCCTTGTAAACCCAAGCCTCCTTGTAACACATTTTGTATAAGGGGTATCCAAGGAATGTGGTGTCTACCAAAAAGGTGCATAGCAGGTAATAGTGAATCTATAGCAGTGTCATGGTTTGCTTTTTATCATATCAATTGTTGTTTATCTCCCCGGAAAGTACAAACATTGAGCCTTCAAGGCAACATCAAAACACTGAGAAGTGTCAATCTCAAATGTGTCAATCATTTTGAAACTTGACCAATAGTGAGTTTGGGCCGTGGCTACTGTAGCAGCAAGCTGAGCCAGTTGGTATTTATCATTGTGTAAAAGCAATTAAGGGTTGGTGCTAGAAGGGATATAGCTGCAGACGGAAATTAACAAGAAATATATATATATATTTATATATATATCGTCACCTTAGAATCATAAGGTTCTATCTGACGTTTTTGTCAAAATTAAGTTATTGACATTCCTCTTGAATGACAACTTATTTACATTATGGGATAATTTTCATAAGTTGTTTACATTAAGATTTTATCAAAAAAAAAAAAAAAAAAGCCAATGTTACACACATACTGTTAACTATATGGAATGCAAAAACTTTGAAGCTCATTATCTCAAAATCATTCAGAACGCAGATAGTATAATTATAGTATAATTCCAAGGTAACAAAATGTTTATTATATTTGACCAAAGTATGAAGACAAAGACAACAAGGTAAAATGGATAAGCATTGATGGTGCTTTTACAGGATGCGGGGATTTGATGGAATGTTTTTCAAACAAAATGCCAAATACTGTATATGGAATTCCTGCTCAACAGGTATGTTAAACTCAAGGTTTTATGCAATGCCTAACCCTAACATCAAGCTTTATATAAAATTGTAAATCTGGAATGTTATGAATGTATCCCTCTACTATAAAAAAAGGGTATGGTGAGTGTGAGAAACAGACTGAAAATATGCCTTTTGCAATTCTGCAAAATACTTTACACTTAACTCAATTGAACTTGAATGTTTGTGCTACAACCATCACCACAGGATGAGCAAGCTATTTTGCTGCAGTCGACCACTTAATGTCCACCAGCGATGCAGTGGTTTGAAATCAGCAGTTGAGTGGATCAGGTCAGCAGTCGCTCAGTGCCATGTCTGAGGTGTTGGGGAAGAACGTGGTAAAAATGTATTGCTTAATTTACTGTCTTGGTTATGTAAATTGTTAACAAAATTGTTAATTTCTTCCTTCAAACCCAAAAGTGAAATTGTTGGGTAGGATTTATCTATATATAAAATTCACATTTGTTATATAACATTCTCAAAAATCAACTCTTTAAATATGCTTTTAATTACTGTAACAAAAACAACAGTATACCTTTTCATTACATATTTGTATGTATGTGTATATATAGTACACTACATTGAAAAATATTTTGGAACACCCTTGCAAATCATTGACTTATAGACGTTTTAATGACTTCTATGGCCACAAGTGTATAAAATCAAGCATTAGGAATGCAGATTACTTCTACAGACATTTCAATCATTGTACCATAATAGGTTGCCACCAAATTTCTTCACTGCTAAATATTTCATCTGTTGGTGGTTTTCTAACAAAGTGGATGCTCTTTGGTACAACACAGCCACAAGGGCTGTGAAATAACAATAAAAACAATCCTTAGATGCATTCATTAATTACTTTAAAAATTCCAAAATTTATCTAAAAACCTTTCTCCTTAGAGGATATAGTGATAAAAGAACAAACCATTTTTTTAATAATTCAAGGCTCCCAAAACTGTTCTTAAAAATTTTAATTATTGAAATATTTATAAAAATTTAGAGTTTTAAATGACTTGAGGTTAATAAATGATGATAATTTTTGGGGTGAATTAATCTTTTAACCTTTTTAAATATATATATATATTTTTTTTTCTATGACAAATACATTTCTATGTAAGAGTCATACAAAAGCAGGAGAGTCAAAATTTAACTTGGTGGACTGATTAAAAATAATAATATAAAATTTGTCATGTACTGTTAAAGTCCTCAACTGAACTCCTGAGTTTTTAAACA